GCAGCCAGTCGGCTGTTCAAACGGGTCGTCGTTTTCCCTCCAAACATCAAACGGCCCTCTGGCCGTCGATCATGGATGATCGACGGCCGGAGGGCCGTCACAATTTCAAAAAAAAAAAGCTGGCCTCACGGGCCCGACTCGCCTTTTTTCAGGCCTGGTCGGACCCGGTAGGCCCTGGGGACCCCAGCTGACGGCGATTCGGGGTCTGAACACCCCCCCGACAAGGTGTGCTGGGGGTGCCCGGCCCCCAACCGGGCCGCCCGCCCGGCCAGGCCGCCCGGGTTCTCCCCCGGGCAGGCTCTGGTCGACCGGGCGGCCCGGATCCGTACTCAGCTTAATAGGCAATTGATTTTCTCCCTCTTTTTTTCTTTTTTCTTTTTTGATTTTGCTTTTCTTATTCTGGTTCGGAGGCCTGTGGCTGAACCCAGCCGGAGTTGCTGGGGGCTTGTCACAAGGTCGCTTCTGTATCGTAAGGGTAGCTGACACCGTTTCCTGGCTTTATCAAACAACCCTACTAAGCCTTATCGGCCGCAGCACCGAGTCTCGCATCTGCAATGGTCCACGTTAGTGCTTTTGCATCACGAAGCGTGAGACATCCGATGTAAATATCTGACGCGCGATCGTTCGCATCGCGAAGCGTGAGACGTCCGATGTAAAATTCTGACGCACCTAATGCGGCGCGCCTGACGCGTCTGACGCATTTGGCGTTTGTTTTTTTCTCGGGTGAGTCCGGTTTCGTTTCGGTTTTGCGGTCTCTTTTATGCTTTGGGCCTCGCTGCACTACTCTTGAAATACAGACAGATACACGGTCATGATTTTTGTTTTTTGTGGATGTCGAGAGTAGTGGAAGATTGAGACATCCATTGTAAAATTCTGATGCTCCTGACGCATCTGACGCGTTTGGCGTTTGTTTTTTTCTCGGGTGAGTCCGGTTTCGTTTCGTTTTTGCGTTCTCTTTTATGCTTTGGGCCTCGCTGCACTACTCTTGAAATACGGACAGATACACGGTCATGATTTTTGTTTTTTGTGGATGTCGAGAGTAGTGAATCTTCTGCTAGAATACAGACAGATACACGGTCATGATTTTTGTTTTTTGTGGATTTCGAGAGTAGTGCAGCGAGGCCCTTTGTCGTTGGCTGTCGGTGGGTGCTTGGGGCCGGTCGGTGTCAGTGGGTGCTTGGGTCCGGTCGGTGGGTGCTTGCGGCCAGTCGGTGGTGCTTGGGGCCGGTCGGTGGTGCTTGGGCCCGGTTGGTGGGTGGTTGGGGCCGGTCGGTGGGTGGTTGGGGGCGGTCGGTGGGTGGTTGGGGGGCGATGGGTAGGTGCTTGC